CATACTATATAGCAGGGAAAAGATTGGTCCCTATCATGTTGTTTGTAGAGGAGCAAATTCACCGGAGCCACGTGTCAGTTCGGACATGATGACCTGTCAGTTCGGCCAGACCAGCTCGGACAGGAGGGATGCCAGCTCGCGCATGGCTGCCGTCTCCCCGCTGGATGGGCCTGGTGGGCCGCGGCCTCCAAACTTTTCGGAGCTAGCCGATGGAGCCCTAGAAGGACTCTCTCTTTGGCCGGACTTCTAATCCTATAAGGAAACTACTACCTACAAGCCTATAAATACAGCGCTACAAGGCAACACAAGGTACGCCATCAACAACACTTTCCATTGTTACTTTACTCTCAAGCTCTTACTGACTTGACCGTTGGAGCTGCTCCAGGGAACTAGCCCCGCCGTTCGTCCCCCTTGCAGGTCGGCTTGCTTACCTCCCATCAGCTCGTCCCTGACCAGCTCGCAACAGCTCAGCTCGAATCGCATTTTAGGACTAAGCTCAGTTCGTTCGCTTTCCTCCCATCAGCTCGTCCCTGACCAGCTCGCTTAGCTCATCGCAGCTCAGCTCGGATCGCATTTTTGGCAGTCGCATCATTGTTCTTCACAAAAGAACCATGGCATTGAAAATTAGTAGAATGATATTATCATGACAAAGTTTACGAAGTGATAAAAGGTAATGAGATGGTCGTGGAATACGAAAAACAGTATTAAACTTGAGTTGACATGAATAAGTGCAAAGACTATCCCATGTGTGTACAAGAAGTATCAAGCCATTTCCAACAAGAATTTTGTTAGTCCCACCATATAGTGATGGACTAGAAAGTTTACCAAAGTAGGGTTTCATAAGGCAGTGTTAAGGCAGTGTTAATTGTTTAACCTTCAATTATTAAAGAATTAAGGTAGGTCAAGTCAATGACTTGAAATTGATAAAGATCAAAGGGAAGATAAAAGCTCAACAATTGCCAAATTTCAATTGCATAAAGATAGTAATGTATTAATGTTCCAAAGGTCTAGAGACTAGAAATGAGTTGATGAAAGAGATTCATAGTTCTAAGTATGCTCAAGATATATAAGGACTTAAAGTAGTCCTATTAGTGGAGTGGAATAAAGAGAGAGATTGCCAAATTTGTATGAAAATATCTAGTTTGCTAATAAGTAAAAGCGAAACACTAAAGACGGATTGAATTACTAAAATCTTTACATACTCTTGAATGGAAATGGAAAAATGTCACCTTGGACTTTGTTATGAGTTTGTCAAGGTTAATAAGGAATTCATTATAAGAGATGATAAAGTACTAGGATTATAAAAAGCTAGCCTGGTAGGCTATATTAAAAACACAAGGTCGAGCTTTTACATGCTAATGGCCAACCTCAAATCTTTTTGAAAGAAATCACTACTAACAATAGTCTACACAAGGTGGAGTTTTTACACGCTAATGTCCAAACTCAAAACATTTGAAAGAAATCATTACTAATAATAGGAGTATGAAACTTCAAGGTCTTGAATCCGTGCATAAATGAAGCAATCATAATCTTTTTCACTCGAATTCTGGTCTTTCATGCTTTCATTAAGAACCTTGCTACATAGGACTTCAAGGACTCATTTAGTTTCTGCTTAATATTTATGAGGTGGGTCGAGGTCTTTATGAAGGGCAAAGAAGAGATGAAGCGATTCATGAACTTCTAAATTGGCTCAGGAAAAGATGAGATAGGTTCTGGAACCAAATTTGAGACTTCCCTTATAGAAACATAGGAAAGGTTTGGCACTTGATTTGTCGGGAAATTTATACAGCCAAATTGTCGCTTGGAATGTGAAAATGTAGTGTTTGGGGTCCAAAGTTCTATAATATATAGGAATTGAGCTAGGTAATTAAAGTTATAAGGGAAGGGAAAATCATCAATTTCAGGAGTAAACAGAGAGAGCTTGCAAGTTTCACATGCCTCTTCCTGTGCATGGATCTACCTCCTCATCTATTTGCTAACTTGCTCTGTCCTGAGCAGGGAGTCTTGCATAAGCCAAGCTGGCCTATTTCTATTTGCTCCCTCAAAAGGGGATCTCTTATTTCTTCTTCTCTTCAGGTGATGATCACCCTCTGAGAAAGAGGAATCCTCCTCTCGAGTTCTTCGATTAGACCAGACAGATGGTTCTTCATCTGTTTTATGCTTGCCTTTCATGTATTTCACAAACTCCTCAAACATTCCAATATTGGTCCTAATAAATTATCTTTGTTATGGCATCCCTGTCCTGATTTCTGACCTATTCCTCAAGAGGAGCAGTTTCGGTTGCTAGAAGATCACATTTTGATCGAGTGTTATGGGCCATAACTAGTATATCAAAATTCATAGAATAGAACTATCATTCCCAAAGATAGTGCCAATCATACGAGTAGAAAATCTAAGGTCCCAAGTTGATGGCCTGCAAACTAATAGCAAGCAAGCAAGCAAGATGTCAAGACTGGTCCCTCGATTCTGCTCCTATTCTCAAGTCAGTAATAAACTAAAAAGGCTTCGGGTGGTGATCAGTGCCGTGTTACTATTCATGTACAAACTCTGACAAACTTGACCATAGAATATGTATTCATATGAGATTGTTTAAATATCAAACAAGTAAGAGATACAAGGAGCTCGCGAAGGTCTGTCCTGAGCCAAACCCTTTGAGACTCTAAACCAAAAAATGGTACGTTGGTCATAAATTCGAAAAGAAAAAATGCATATATATACTACGTATGCAAACTTGATAGTATATGGTCGGGTAAGAAAAATGGGAAACAAGTTACGAGCGCATGCAACTCAAGAGTAACTCAGAGCAATAAAAGAGAATAAATAGTAAGAAGAAAGAAATAATGGAAGGATAATAAGCAAACATACCAAAATTAGGCCAAAGCAATGCAATAGATACAAAAGCAAAGAGAAAAAGGCAGTGAATGAATGGAGACGCATTCTATTCTATTTATCCAAACTAGTTCTTTGACGGGACTACACATAATTTGTTGATTTTTTTTTAAAATTTGAAAATCATTTTGTGCAATGAAAAGTCATAGAAAAAATTTTCACTTTTGAAGATGTAAAAGAAATTGGTTTGAAAATGAAAAAAAAAAAAAGAGTAAACATCTTGTGATGTTAAGAACATTGATGGACAGTGATGACTCATGCATGTGATTTACATACATAAAATAGTTATATACTCAATTCATTATCGAAATATTAATAAGAATTGAGAAATCAAAATTACCTACCAAGACATATGCTATAAAACTGGTCAACTAAAGAGAGCATAGATAGTTAAATTAGAATCAATATTTGTTCAGTGATCACAAGTACAAATGTATAAGAACAAATGAAATGCACAATATTAAGGGAACATATATACCTCGATGAAGAGAGTTCAATTCACTTCTGCCAACAAAAACAAAAGAGATTTTGGCACATATATTAGTTATAATATGTCAAAATTAAGGGGAGGCATAAGTTGGATGGTATGAGAAAAGAGAATGTAAGTGAGAGATCTCGAGTTCAAACCCTCCTACTTACACTATAAAAACATAAAAAAAAATTAAATAGAATAAGTAAAAAAAGTAAGAAAAACAAAGTGGATGGAAAAAGGGGGATTAATTGTTATTAGCAAAAATAAAACACCTAAAAGTTGACCCTAATTAGTAACCAAATAAATTGTGCACAAAAGAAGATAGGATTGAGTGTATAAATACGAGATTTAATAAAATAAAAAATATATGAGATATTAAACATACATTGATGTCGTACATGATTGTTTCAATTAAATTAAACTAATTGGTACGGAAGAGGTGGCTTTTTTCCACCTGTTACTTGGGATGATTGACATGCTAGTTAAAGGAATGATTGAAGGCATAAATGATTGAAAGAAATAAAACTAATTGAGATAATTAAATCTTTTGGTTAGGCTTTTTTTTTTTAATATAATGCGCCCGAGTGCGCAAACACACACACACACATATATATATATATATATATATATATATATATATTAAATAACCTTGATTTCATGAAAAGCCTTGATTGAAAGAAATTACTAAGTCGAATTTGATTGATAAAAAAATCAAGAAAGCAATTACTTATTTGGTAGGTTGTTGAATGGGCTATTCTCACATTCTGTGCCCACATAAAACGATTTTTGACTTGTAATAAGTTGCTAAGAAATTGGATTCCCAAGAAGAAAACATAATAAATAATAGAGAAATTTAAAAAACTATAACTAATTATACAACTTAAATAGATCAATATGAGTCATATGCTAAAAATATGAAATACAAAATTATCAACATTTTAGAAGTAGTAACAAATAACAAAGCCAAAAATTTTAGTAATAGCAAATTCTAATTATAACCAAGCCAAACAATAAGCCCACAAAAAGTGATTGGAGAGAATTAAAAATAAGCCCACAAATTATTAAGTTTATTGATAAAAAGATTTAGTAAGGCATAATCAATACAAATGTATATAAGATAGGAATTAGTAAAATGATTAAAAGTTTGCTATGAATAAAAGAGTGAAAAAGGAAGGAAACTAGTTGTTACAAAATAAAAAAGAAGACAAAACAAGGAAATCAATTTGTCGATTGAAATTTGTTATAAATAATGAAGTAATGAATTATAAAAAAAAATAAAAATTGTTGAAATTCTAGTAATAATAACTTCTAATAATGCAGAGCGGAGATGGAGACACAAATCTATTATACTGATCGAAATGATCGGTTTTCGACTACTGTAGACTGTAGAATCTTGTCCTCATTCGTATTGCATATACCACATGCAAAGCTGATAATCCTAGCAAGTAATAATAAGTGATCAAGATAGAACTTGAAGGGGGGACCCAAATACTTCGGAGTTCGGAGTCCTCCTCCTCCGTTACTTATTTTGTTGTGTACTGCTAAAAGGGACCGGTTATGTGATCTTAGCACTTAGCAGCAGCAGTAATTACTACTGATTACCTACCACACAGGAAAGGATAGTTGTAGGAGTATTTAACCCAAGCCATCGCTAGCGCTCGTCGGTCGTCTGCTCTGTTCCTCTTGTTTCTTTCTTCCTTTCTCTGCTGCGTCTCTATTGGCATTCTCCCCTCCTTGTCAGTTGTCACTCCTCCAGATTAATTCATTTCTACCTTGTCGTCTCAATTACATCTTATTTCTGATCCTCCTCCTCCCTCCCTCCGTCCCAAGTTTATACTACAAACATCTGCTCTTTTAAGCCCCCCTATCAATTAATAAAGAGAAAGGGTAGGGGCAAGGATTCAATAGAGAAAGAAAGACAGAGAATGGCAAACGTGGTCAACCGTCTCCTCCTTCGATCCACTCTGCAAAAGGCCACCGCCGCCGCCGCCGCAAAGGTATCACCATCTCTTTTTCTGCCTCTCTCTACATCTCTCCTTAAACCTTTCTGCCTTGCTTTGATGATTGACATGTTGGTATATTCCTCCTAGCACGTGTTATATATACACACACATGTCTATACTATGTATTGTGGATGGATAGGAGTTTGGTTATTACTCCTATATATTGGGGATTCCCTTTTCTTGAATGCTTACTACTACGTACTTTACTTGCTTGTTCATCATCAACTCTCCTCCTTATGGGCTTCTGCATTTTCAAGCTGATCGACTTTATTTCTGCCTGCCTCCCTTTCTTGTCTTATTTTACTTTTTCTGTTCAGTCTTGAGATAGTAATCAAAACCAGAAACCATAGCAACTCAAAACCCAGTATTCAAGTTTGTCAATCTATGGTTCCTTGCCCTAAAACTAGCACCCAGATAATCACGTTCGCTGCTAGATGTTCTGTTAGTGTATTCCTAACACATTTTCCGACTGACTTCCAAGCTAACATACTGTCCTTAATGCTAAGGTTCCCAATTAGTATTATTATTTTTTCTTAATCTGAGCTTCTGTCATGGCTGCTGCTTGTCTTTTACCCCAAAAGTAAAAATAAAAATAAAAATAAAAATGAGGGAAATACTTTAACAAATGCAGCTATTGGGGTATGCAGGTTGGCTTTCCTGTCGTAAATTGTACGCCAGTTGCAAGCAGGTTGCAGGATCACATAACTCAGGCTCCCTCCCAGAATAGATGGAATAGTACAGAGGCAGCTGCACAGAAGGATGTTTCTGCAATTGATGATAAAGGGTAAGTATACATTTCCTTGCTATCATTCTCCTCCTCTTTTTTCTCCTTTCGTTCTTCTCTTCCACTGCTGCGCATAAAACATCGCTTATGCCTCTACTTGTTTCCTTTTGTTTGAGTTTCTTATATTTGTTCTAGTTGCTCTTTTCTGCATTTTATATTCTTATTATCTTGATTCGCAGAGGCCGAAATTGGTATCTTATTAGCTTATGTTCTTGAGTTTTACAGTTTCAAGGGCCATGAAATGTTGGCACCCTTCACAGCTGGTTGGCAGTCCACTGATTTGGATCCTCTGGTTATCGAAAGATCTGAGGTAGGGGCCTTTGAAAGATTTTAGTTTCATTTATTTCATATGTCACTTGTCTTGACCTTTTTCTTCTCAATTTACAGGGTTCCTATGTCTATGATGTTAATGGTAAAAAATATCTAGATGCTCTGGCTGGCCTGTGGTCCACGGCTTTAGGTATTCAGTTGCCAATGTTATCATTTTCTTTACGTTTGCTTTTATACCGGAACCTGTCCCTGTGGTCTGCCTGTCTTTGGTTTCTCTATGATGAAACTTACTTGCCTTTAGTGGCTAATCTATATAGCAATGTAGCAATCCTGAATATCGAAAAATTGCAGAATTATCCGTCTTCATCAGAGAAATGGAAACGTCTAAAAATCAGATTCCTCCTTTTAAGTCCTATCAAAATTTTTCCTCTTATCTTGTTAAATATCCTAGTCGCAAGTGCCTATTAGGAATAGGTTATCAAGAAAGACTTTTCTTGCTAGTTGTTGCTGCTTAAGTTTAAATGAGAAGCCAATATGTTAGCACTGTTTAATAGTCAGGAAAATGCTCAACTCACAAAATTGAGGTGGGGCAAATGCTCTGTGCAGACCATTTCCGGATGACAATTCACAGTTGTTCTTGTTCATTATTTTGTGATGTTGATGAAGTAAAATAAACAGAATTCTTTTGTTCCACAGTAAAGAATTTCCTAGTTCTCAGTAGTTACTACATCCTGTAAGTTTTATATCAGATGCAGAGACCATTACCTGAGTTGTCTTAGTATTGTATTCTGAAGATGTTCTTTTGTATATGTTCTCCACAATCATATGGTTTTCATGGCTACATCGAAAAATGATATGACCTGTCACAATATGGTAAATAGTTGGATCCAATGGGGATCAACTTTAGTCAAGAAAAATGTGTATAATCCTGTTCATATATGTGAATTCCTATACGTGGTTTACACATGTACCTACCTAAAGAATGTATACCATTTCCCCTTTCCCCCAAACATTCCCCCATCTGTTTTATCTACCAATATAAGCTTTTCACCGGAATGTGGACCGCGTGTCTTAAGCTTAATGTCTCAATATCCTTGCAAACTCGCAGGTGGGAATGAACCTAGGCTTATTGCTGCTGCTGCTAAACAACTAAACACCTTACCATTTTACCACTCCTTTTGGAATCGCACAACAAAACCTTCTTTGGTGTGATAATCTTTCTTTTGGTATGCTAACTCTTTTGTTTGTTGCAATATATGTTCTGCTAATTTACTTTAGGGGATTTGTAGGATCTTGCTAAGGAGCTCATAGAACTATTCACCCCTTCAACAATGTCAAAAGCATTTTTCACAAATAGTGGATCAGAAGCAAATGATACACAGGTTCTCTTTTTGCCAAGAAGCTTTTCAGTAAATTGTCCTTCACTTGCTGCTTTCATCTTTTTGAATAGTTTGCGGCACCTTAGAGAACTTGGATTTCTATTTAATACATTAAGTAAACATCAGTAGTACTCTGGAAATTCATCTGCAATATAGGAAAGATACAGCTTCTATGGAAGTGTCAGAAGAAGTGAAAAGGCAGAAAATTAAAAAGCTGGGGGTTGCTTGAAAGATTATGGTATCTGCTGTATTTCTTTGTCATCATGTTGTAAATGAAGATTGTGATGTCCATTCTTGAAAACTACTCCATCACCTCAGAAATTTTTAGATCCCATACAGATGCATTTGTTCATCGATGGTAGCTTTGTCAAATATAATGGAAAAAGGCAAAAATTGCTCTGGGGACCAACTTTGTTCTTGATTTTATGTTGTAAGCTGAATTTTTCACATTTGTCCCGTGTGCTTGTAGGTGAAGCTAGTGTGGTATTACAACAATGCCCTAGGGAGGCCAAACAAGAAGAAATTCATAGCTCGATCAAAATCGTAATCTGACTGCTATACTTTTTTCTTTTGGTCACACTTTGCATAAATCTCGTGCATCTGCTTAGGAGAATATTACTGAGTTTGCTTTAACTTTTCATGTTTTATCAGATACCATGGATCAACACTAATAGCTGCAAGTCTGTCAGGGTAATGACAAATCAGTGTTCGATTACCAAGTTGCTTAATGTTTTACCCACCCCCTAATGCTTTTGCTTTTTCTAGTCTTCCTGCTCTGCATCAAAAATTTGATCTGCCGGCTCCATTTGTGTTGCATACTGACTGTCCCCATTATTGGCGCTACCATCTTCCAGGTTATTGGTTAGTTACCCTTGTTTTGTTTCATCTTCTCTGTTCCCTGATATAAAGGAATTTTTTTTCGGTCTCTTTTCAGGTGAGACTGAAGAGGAGTTTTCAACCAGGTTGGCCAATAACTTGGAGGCTCTTATCCTCAAAGAGGGACCTGAGACGGTAACTGGGTGTTATTTATTTACATTTCCTTGCTACTTGTCGTTTATGTTTCTGTTTCATTTGGTGCTCCTACAAATTTTGGTTTTGTTACCTACTAACTTGTCATTTCAGATTGCTGCTTTTATTGCTGAGCCTGTCATGGGAGCTGGGGGTGTTATCCCTCCTCCTGCAACCTATTTTGAGAAGGTTGGCTTTTTTTCCTATGTCTTAAGTTTGTGTTAAATTATATGCGGTTGTAAGAAACTGAGTTGCGTACTGAGTGAAGTAGGTTAGTATTCCTCAAATTCATTTCTCCATGCAAGAAACATGAAAGAAAGCTATAGAATGACTTGATTTTGCCAGTTAGCTCATCCAAATGCATGCATATATAGGTCACATATTTCATTACCAACTGGTATCAATATCAATAGGCTCACATCACACTCAACTTTTCATGTAGACTTTTCAACATTTCAGCAATATTGGTTAGTAATCATTGTATCAGTGATAGCTATTACTTTTTACCATATTAGAAATCAAGAACTAGTTTATGTGATGAACATGTGGTAGCTATCAGCATTGGAATTTCATGCACATAGGTCATAAAAGTACAATCCAACTGTAGAATTTCAAAATGCAATATACACAAAACTAAATTAAAAGGTAATAGTCTAATTATAACATTAGGTGGTCCTTGACTATATATGTATTTTTATCTATTATGTATGTATTGGCCATTAGGTATGCATTAATTACATTATTAAAATTGAAACAATTATTGGTCATTTATAGTCTACTAGTGCAAAAAGCACATGTTAAGAAAAAAATTAAGTTATTGTTAGAAGTGTTATTTGTTTGTTGAAAACAAAAACACAAGATATCTATATTGTTTTTTGCAAACAATTAAAAAAAAGGTTATTTGAAGTTTCAGAACTTTAGTAGTTATCTTTAGTGAATCTTTATTTTTGTGAGGGTAAAATTGGAACAATAAAAGATGACAAAATAAAATTTTAACACCAAACTGATTCCTCATGCTTTATATGTAGAAAGATGTATGTAGATTGATTTAGCATGTAGTAGTCTTGCATTAACATATTTCGTAAAACTCATAGATTCATCTAGCATGTTTTATCTACAACATATGACTTTTTTGCATGTATGCATTTGAACTCGCATTTGTCATCTTGGCCATCTTTTTTTTTTTAAAATTTAAATTTGGATTGTGATTTTTATTTTTACTTTTGATGCTGTGGTTGTGCAAATGCATCTTAGAGTTAGACATGCTTGCAGAGAACCATTGGTTTCTTGTCTTCCACACACTTTGTATTGCTGTCTGAATCAATTTTGGTTAAAAGTGTTTTAGATCACGCCTCATTGAAGATTTTTGTCATAAAACTTCCAAGATAATTACCTACTACAAATTGAGACTGGCTTTTTTGACTGATACTACAAATAGAATGTTACTCACTGGTAAAGCATTTGTTATGTGGTTCCAAGTAGGATAGCCACTTGTTCCCCTCTTTTCAATCCTTCGGGCAAAAGTTACAGACTCTTTGTTCTTTCTTTGTTTCAATTATCACAAAGATTTAACAATTTCTTTTGTGTAAGCATGCAGATTCAAGCTGTTGTCAAAAAGTATGAAATTTTGTTCATTGCGGATGAGGTAATATGTGCATTTGGAAGGCTTGGGACAATGTTTGGCTGTGAAAAGTATAACATAAAGCCCGATCTTGTGTCAATGGCAAAGGTATAACTAGACAAGCAGCAATTATGGCATGACCAGTCTGTATCTAGACAATAATACATTCTGTTAATTTTCATTCAGGCTCTTTCTTCTGCATATATGCCAATAGGAGCTGTCCTTGTGAGTCCTGAAGTTTCAGATGTCATATATTCACAAAGCAACAAACTGGGTATTTTCACGTTGGTCTTCGAATGCAACTGAAAATATTCTCCATTACGTTTCATTGCTGATTGAGTTGTCTCACTTCTTTTCTTCTTCTTTTTTTTTATAAGGTTCTTTTTCTCATGGATTTACTTATTCTGGGCATCCTGTATCTTGTGCTGTTGCTCTGGAAGCAGTCAGGATCTACAAGTATGATTTTCTGGTTTTTTACTCTTTGATCTCATCAACAATTTTCTTTAGCAATAAATGTATCTGTAGATGCCTGCTTTGTGAATCTTGATATACGTATGGTTCAAAAAAACGTAAAAGGGAGAAAGCCGATATAGTAGGATGAGTGTCAGATTTGTCCATGCCTTGAACCAAATTAAAACCCATTTGTGCCCTGATTGTGTGGTCTCGTGTCTCTTAATGAGTGTTTTTGTACAATGTTTTATGAAGGAAATTATTCAAAACTTTTTAATTATTTTCAGGGAGAGAAATATTGTTGAGCAAGTGAATAAGATAGCCCCTAAGTTTCAGGATGGCTTAAAAGCATTTTCAGACAGTCCCATAATTGGGGAGGTACACTTTTGCCTCTAATATTCCCATCGATATATATATATGAAGATTAGAAATCTTACTATTGATATGTTTCCCTGTGCCACTTCTGCAGATAAGGGGAACGGGTTTAATCCTTGGAACCGAATTCACTGATAACAAGTCGCCTAATGATGCCTTCCCTTCTGAATGGGGTATCTTCTTCTGCATGCATCTTGTGCTTCTTTTGCTAATTTGAAAACATAAGGGTTGAAGGACAGAATTATGGTTCAGGTGTCTGAGGTTTGCAATTTTTTCCTAATGCTTTTTGTCAGGTATTGGTTCATATTTTGGAGCACAGTGTGAGAAACACGGTATGTTAGTACGCGTGGCCGGTGACAACATACTGATGTCTCCCCCTTTTATCCTGACTCCAGGTGAAGTGGATGAGGTACATTTTTTCTCAGAAATGACTCCAGGCTTTGTTTGCGAGGACTTCGAGGGTGTGTATACGCTTTTAGTTATTAAAAATTCGAACTCAATTGAACAATTTAATCTATCTGGTTTCAGTTAATTGGCATCTATGCTAAGGCACTTAAGGCTACCGAAGAGAGAGTGGCCGAACTGAAGGCGCAAAAGAAATAATCGACCGCCCGCCCGCCCGCGATCAGAAGATTGTGAAAAATTTGCAATGCCCCTCCCTGTGTAAAGTAAACTCTTTTATCGACTGTTTGTTTGGTGATGTATTATTCTAGTATGAATATTATTGGTGTTTTGCATGAAAATAATCGAAGCATCATCATTCCTGATACCGTTTCTTCTTTTAATCCTATTTCATCAGTTGAAGTTTTTCTTTCACCTGTCATGCATTTGAGTTGCGACTAAGTTTGCTAAAGGTAGGCTTGTTGTATTCAAAACCCTTAGCTTCAGCACCAGGAGTGAGATTTCTTGTGCAGAGCATGGGTTTGGTGGCTGAATGAAATACATGTGTAGCTAGCTGTATATACTGGGAGTCCGTATCCACTTTGTAGGGGATGGAGAACAAACCCTTTGATTTTTGAACAGGATATTTTGGATCGGTTAACCAGGATAATAAAAGCGATGATCATATTCATCATCAGAAGGTTGGTGTGACGGTGCAAATTCATAACAATGCCATAATTTTAAGACAAAAAAGGGGATACTACCCCCATTGTAGGAAATGAATAAACAACACACGGATGAGATGATGCCTGGCATTACCAGAGGAATTGAATTGGATCTCTTCTAAGGCTTGGCGTCTTTATCAGCCGCCCTCCTTGCCCGCCTCTTTCTAGAGCTCAAGGATGACTCGAAGCCTCCATTACCAGAGTCGTCTTCCAAGTCCCTGAAAGATTTCTGCATGGTACGAGTGAGTGAGTTAGTTAGGAGGAGTATGAAGATAGATTGGAAAAGAAAGGGAGTACGGAACCTCCTACCTCTCTAAGCTCGGCGAAGCTCACGGCATAGAAGGTAATAGCAGCAGCTGCAAGAATTCCAAGTACAGGAAGCGCTACCTGCTGAATCCCATCCATCCATCCAAAATCCTCAGTTTGCTTCTCACAGATAAACACGAACGGTTCTTTGATCTTTCTATTTATATATTTGGTTGGAGAAAGGGGGTCCGGAATCGGAATGGCTCTGTGAGGTGTGTGACTTGGCGGAAAGTATTGGCTGGTAATTCTCATCTCATCTTATCCCAAGGATAGCGTTCGTTCTGAGTTGCTAGCGTGTACGACGTTATTTGATTCTCTAATATTTTTTTGACTCAGACCCAACGAATCTATCCCATTATGCCTTCACTCCTGAGTTTGGTCAATCCAATTTCCAAAACAATAGTCATCAAAAGAACAAAAAGGTTACTTCAAGGTTATCAAAGTGCATATCCCTAATTATTGATTGATGTTTTTCCTTGTCATCAATAATTACTTGACATATACATATACCTTTCGTCCACAATTACACCGGCACTACATTAGTTTAATTTTCTTTTTATTAAAACATCAAATATCATTCTTTTAACTTTTTTAAAAAAAAAAATCCAGCAGGATTTAAAGAACTCAGTATAATTGTGTTTTGTGCGTTTTCGTCCAGTTATCATACATATTTAAATTTTTGGTGTATACATACATCATAATATTGTACTGAATATATATATGAAATATTTTATTCATGTACATCACTTTTTATCTCGAATGTAATAGTGTAATGTAACTGTATTCCAAGTAATGTAAAAGTAAAACATACCAAACTCCAACCACACCGGCCCATCTCCACTTGATAAGAATGGATGCTGTGTTCATGGTGTTTCTTTTTTAAATTATATTTTTATTTTTTCCTGAAAAAGAAAATATATAAGTTTAGGAAGAGGGAAAAGATACGTGCTTAATTAACTGCACAAATTTGGACATTGTAGAGCTCTCTGCTTAATGGTGGTTCTTGCAAATAACTCATGGTTGAGTGACTCTCATGAAGAGCATACCAAGTACTACAGATTAGGGCTGGCAACAAATCTGACAGTTTGAGAGTTTCCTTGAGTAAGCTAAACGAGGCCGGGCGGAACTATACTCCTATTATGATTTTTAACTGTGTGAAGCAGGAATCTACAAAGCAGTAGATGTGAGAGGGTCATTTGGTGAAAACTGTAACGTGCATCCCATTCAAACACAAGTATTACTTGTTATATACTAGTAGCTAGCTGTTAACAACTCTTCTTTTTCAATTTTTGAAATGCATTTTGTGTTTCTGCTCTAGAAGAAGTGGAAGAAGAAGAATATTGCAACATGGAACAATTCAACATCTATTTGGATTAGCTATTTTTGGAAGTGTTTTTGTAAAATTTTACTGTAACAGTGTATATGAAAAATTTTTACTATAAAATTTTTTTGAAATATTGATATATTATATCTATGGGATGTTTTTGAGTTATTGTAATTACTGTAACATTATATTTGAAACACTTGTTTTTTAAAAAATGAGCAATCCAAATAGAGCAAGGTTTCAGTCTCTGGCTCGGCCAGTTTTGACAGAAGAAAAGGAAAAGTGAACAAGCTTGAACACAAATATATAATCACTAGACCAATGGCTCAGTGGCCACCAGGGAGGGGCTTAAGTCCCTCCTTGGGTTGTAGGTGAGGGTTCAAACCTCACCTGCAGCGAAAAAAATCTAAGAGTTGTGCCATAACACTCCTTTGATTTAGTTGGGTAGCCCCCTACCACAGCTGCTGACAAAAAAAAAATTAACACAAATATATAAGGATTATATGGTTCAGGAAGTAGTATTATGGACCGCTTATTAAGAAGATTTCAAACAGCGGGGGCAATTTAATGTAAACATGCAGCGGCCACCCATCACCGCCAGTCAGCTCGGCTTTTTGCCGGCCATGGTTTGCTTGGTCAGATCTTTCTGATTCTAATTCTATTGCTTCAATTGGAATTAAATAAAAGTCCAAACAGGTCGACCTCCATCCATCACTCCATCTGCCAACCAAAAAAAAAGCCCAACCTCTTCCAATTAAATTTGTAGGCAGCCGGTACAAAAAAGGACCACCCGCGATCCGCGCGGAGATATATGATCCTGTGCAATTTAAAAAGTATTAAATGCATTAAACCTCCTAAACTTTCGTTTTAGTTGTGCTTTGTCCCTGATTTCATTAAATAAGCACTTTGTCTCTGTATTTCATATTTTAAGGTAAAAGTGCGTGCCCTTACTATTTTATTTTGTTTCACTTTTATTTATTCATTCCCTTAATTTTCTTTTTCCACTACTTTCTTTATTTTTATTTACTTGTTTTTATGTCTAGTTTGTTAACCAAACATTTGCATTTGTTACTCTTGTTATTAAAAATTAATTTATTCTAAACTCTAGACATATTAATTTAAATCATATATGAAATGGTCTATGCGCATAAACAGTATACTTTGTTATAGCATACAGTTTATGATAATTATTACTTCTAATAACAAAATTTAAAAAGGATAGAAATAAATAAAAATTAACATTAATATATTGATAATAATAGCAAAGAGAAGAAAGTAGTTGGTCACGAAAGAGAAAGAAGGAAAGCTACAAAATATATAAAGAAAAGGACAAGTAGAAAAAGAGCAAAAAGGGACAAAAAAAAAGTTATAAAATAATAATTAATATGGAAGAAGTACTTTTGTCCTAAGATATAAAATAGAGGGACAAAGTACCTAATTATTGAGTTGAGAGAGGGCAAAGTGCAACCCAAGGTAAAGCTTAGGGAGGTTTAATGCTTTTATTTTGAACCCAAAAAAAAAAAAAAACTTGCTTGTATTGTGAAATCGACCAAAAAAAAAAAGAAAGAGGAAAAGAAAAAGATACCAAAAAGGAAAGAGGAGAGGTCGCTGTCGATCGCCTGGGTCGCAAATCGTCAGCTTTGCAATCGCAATTTGCAAACTAGCAGTAGGATGGGCATTGGGCGGTTTGGTCGGTCAACAGGAGCCGCCACTACACTACCAAACTGCCTATACGGTCACAACACGAGATTCCTAAATCTTGTTCATTTACCAAATCAGCCCCTTTTTTTCTCTCTTTTCTCAAACTTTATCCATGTTTTAGCCTTCGTTACCCCTCATTGAGAAAGAAAGGAAAAGAGAGGAAGAAACAAAAGATCTACATACATACTGATAATATATGCATATTTCAACGTCAAGTAAGAGCTCTATTAGTCGCAGCAAATAATTATGAAAGACGATAGGAGCGGTAAAATTTTGATGCCCAGTTGCTGCAGGAAGTGCGGGTTTAGTAGCACTGTAGGAGGGTAATGAATGTCGTAAATGTGTAACCACTGAACTTAGCTCAGTGGCCGCCAGGAAGGGACTTAAATCCCTCCTTAGACTGTAGATGAGGGTTCATATCTCATCTCCAGTAAAAAAATTTTAAGGATAGTATTATAGTACTTTTTGATTTAGTTGGGTCTGTACACCCACTAGTCTCTAACATAAGTCTCCTTATATTCCCTTTCTTCCTAAATTAAGATAGAGTAGATTATACAATATATCGTTGCTGGTAAAAAAAAAAAAAAAAAAGAATGTCGTAAATGTGGGGCGGAATCTGTGGCAAAAGCCGGGGGGTTCAAAAAGAAGCCGCAGCGTTTGAACTTAAAACAAATCTTCAATTGGGTGTTTGGTAGTCGTGGGGCCCATGGTCTGCGCTGTCATATATGGAGGAATAGGAGACGAGAGGACGACTATTCCCCATCGGGAAATTGCTGAATTGGGTTCTAGCTAGTCGCCTCTCGCCTCTCGCCTCCCTCCCATAGTCTTCCCATTCCCCTTTTTTTTTTTTTCTCTTTTTTCATGTATAAATAAATATAGTACTACTACTTTACTAGCAAAGTTGTAGTATACAAATCCATTAGCATATGGTTTTCATTTTGCAGTCGTCAGTCCTCTCTGGTTTTGCTTTCCAAGAAGAAGAAGAAACAAAATAAACACTGGTGACACCATTCATTCATTCATTCATTCATTCCTGATTGATTCCCACACAACTCACAACACCCAGCGACTCACTCCATCAATCAAATACTAGTAGCAATCATCAGATTCAGACCGACCGACGGACACAGCTGCATCATCATCGATTCCATCCCATCCAAAGACACCATCGAGGCAAAGCAGAGCAAATCCAGTGCTTCTCAATCTCAATCTCAATTTTAATCTCATCATCCTCTCCCTAAGGCTCAAGGCAAGCGACACTACTGCCATCCATATTCATTCTCGATCCTGTGTTCTCCTCTTCTGTTTGTTTCTCCCACTTGACTAGACTGTACTCCATACTCTTGCCTCTCAATTCCTGTCTGTGGTTCTTCTATTTGATTTGAATGCACACTGTTTGTCAGCGCTGCAGTATTCGTTTGTTTTCTTCTTTTTCCCATTTCATGGAGTTATAATTACATCGATCAGTATTGCTGCTTTATAGTTTAGTTTGATCGCAACTACAGTTTCTTGCTTAATGTCAAAGATCAGAATCATCTATTCAAATCCCACTGCCAAAACCCCAATCAACACAAAAATCTTTCTTCTTTTCATTCGAATATAATTATATTGAATCTTAAACGCCTTATTATTCGAATATATATATGGTATTGATCCGACTTCACAGTTGTTTGGGTTTCCAGATGATATAGATATAGATGGTTAGTAGAACTAGTACTACTGATTTTCTAAACCCGAAAAAATAAAAAATGTCATTTTGTATTACTCCAAATTTTTCCTTCTTTTTTTTTTTTTTGGTCTTGGCTGCCGCGTCTGTTCTAGCAGCAGCAGTAATAAGTTAACTTTGATCAAAAGGAGATGCTTTGATGATTGATTACCATCCACTTATTGTCAAAGTATGATTAAAGTTGTCTCCTCATATATATCTTCAGGGCTTGATTATCTGATTTATCTTTTTTTTTTTTCCTTCACTTAATAGTGACTTTCTATGGAGCATGTTTCTAATTGTTCATTTGTTGTGAAATTTTTGTTTTGTTTGGTTTTGGGTAGAAAGAAATAGTGAGAAAAAGCATGAGAGTAGTGGTGTGGTAAGACTAAGAGTGTAGATTCTTGTTGTTATTATTCATTCATTAACAAATTAATATGAATTGTATGCGGTTTTGGTTGCTTATGTTGCGGACGACCGAGCTGGTGGTATGTTAAAATCAGCTTTTAATGTAAGGTGGTATTTGATGTTTTAGTTTCATTTCCTGATGCCTGGCCTGGATACATACATACTATATCTCCACTACTATATGTATATGAATATGAGTA